TACAATAGTACCTGAAAGTGAGAACAGGCGTTCGCATGGCACTGTTGTAGCCATTGTCGCAAGATATTTATGTGGCAGATGCACTAAAGATTCATATGTCCCTTCATGCTTCAACCACCATTCCAGGGGACGTGCATCCATGCTGATAACGGGTTCTGCTCGATAACCATCCAAAGCAGTGCAGACTGAAGCGAGTTCATTTTCATTATCTGAGTCAGAAGCCACCAGCAGAAGGTTGATTTTCTTTTTTGGTGTTTTGGGTTCTGTAGTTTCCGCATCAGATTGTTGCTCTTTTAAGACTTCTGAAAGCATGCTCCACACCTCATCCCCCTCAGATTTTGGAAGGCACTTCAGATTCTTAAACCTTGAGTTGAGTGATGTAGCTATCTTTAGAAATCTCACATTGGTACCTTCTTTGTTTTTTTGTGAAATCTGCAGTGAAAGTGTTCTTAGAATGAACAGCATGTGTTGGGTCATCATCTGAGACTTATAATGAAATATATGGCAGAATGTGGGTAAAATAAAGTAGGAGACATACAATTCTCCCCCAAGGAGTTAAGTCACAATTTTATTTATGCATTATTTTTTTTAACAAGCATCATCAGCATGGAAGCATGTCCTCTGGAATGGTGGCCAAAGCGTGAAGGGACATACAAATGTTTAGCATATCTGGTACATAAATACCTTGCAATGCTGGCTACAAAAGTGCCATGCAAATGCCAGTTCTCACTTTCAGGTGACATTGTAAATAAGCGGGCAGCATTATCTCCCGGAAATGTAAACAAACTTGTTTTTCTTAGCGATTGGCTGAACAAGAAGTAGGACTGAGTGGACTTGTAGGCTCTAAAGTTTTACATTGTTTTGTTTTTGAGTGCAGATATGTAAGAAAAAAATCTATGATAAATAGATTGCACTACAGCACTTGTATGAGGTGAATTGAAAAATACTATTTCTTTTGTTTGCCATTTTTACAGTGCAAATATTTGTAATAAAAATAATAATATAAAGTGAGCACTGTCCACTTTGTATACTGTGTTGTAATTGAAATCAATATATTTTAAAATGTAGAAAAACAGCCAAAATATTTAATAAATTTCAATTGGTTTTCTATTGTTTAACAGTGCAATTAAAACGGTGACTAATTGTGATTAATTTTTTTAATCGCAATTAATTTTTTAAAGTTAATCGTGAGTTAACTTTTTTAATCGCGATTAATCGACAGCCCTAGTGTAAACTGCTATAACTACACCAATGTAAACACATGGGCACAAAACCCTAATCTAGACACACTTGCCAATGCAGAATAGGGCTTGAACCTGTAAGCACCATGTAATATGGGAATATACACATTGCTAACATAGGAGTATGAATACACACCACCTTCACTTGTAAATAGCTTTATCTCCTAACTCCCTGCAGTAAAGTAAAATGCAAGCACCAATTACACTACTTTGTACACCTTCAAAACACTTTATAATTCAAAATATTTGATGGTTTTAAATCATAATAATAGAACTTCAGGGGGTTGCAGGTGCGGGTGGAGGGAATGAGGGCTCCAGCTCAGGGTACAGGCTCTGGGGTGCAGGAGGGTGGGACTGAGGGGTTCAGAGGGCAGGAGGGGGATCAGGGCTGGGGAAAAGGAGGGGGTCAAGGGTGCAGCCTCTGGGCAGCATTTACCTCAAGCATCTCCCAGAAGCAGCAGCATGTCCCCCCTCTGGCTCCTACATGGAGGTGTGGCCAGGCAGCTCTGCGCACTGCCCTGTCTGCAGGCGCCACCCCTGCACTTCCCATTGGCCCCTTTTGCTGGCCAATGGGAGCTACGGGGGCAGCGCTTGGGGCGGGGCAGCATACAGAGCCCCCTGGCTGCCCCTACATGTAGGAGCCAGAGGGGGGATGTGCCACTGCTTTTGGGAGCCGCGCAGAGCAAGCCCTTGACCCCACTCCCTGGCAGGACCTTGAGGGCCAGATTAAAACGTCTGAAGGACCAGATGTGGCCCCCGGGCTGCGCTTTGCCCACAAGGATAAAACAAATGTTTGCAAGGACCCCAGTTTTAAACACAAAAGGTTGGAGCCTGCTTCTGTTGAAATCACTGGAAGTTTTACCATTAACTTCAGTGGCAACAGAATATATGCCAACACTCCATGAATGGACATGTCCTGAGATTGTATGCTTATTATTGCTTTCCAAATTCTCATCTTCCACTTTTAAAAGCTCTGCGTCTACTTGTCCTTAACTTTTTTCTTTAAAGTTCTGCCTCTAATCTGTCTCCTCCTCCTGTCTCTTTTATGCTTCTTTTGAGTATTTTGGTATAAAAGTACTCTCATGAACATCAGTTGCAGATTAGCAAAAATTCCTTGTTCCACATTAGGAGATATATTGGCTTGAACTTTTTCTCAGAAACAATTCAGATCTTGTGTTGTTGTCTTGGTAGGTGATTTTAAGTTCTGGATGCCCTTTTTTTAAACTCACTAACTGGCTGATTACTTTGAAAATAGGTGTCCGTTGAATGCATAATAGTGTCATGACTGACCCATGGGTTGTCTGCATGATTTAAACTCTGATATTGACTTTTATAGGACAAAACCAAGTAATTGCAAGTCTTGGTGTAGAGAATGAGAATGTAGCTGTTAATGTATAATTGTGATACGGCACTGAAGCTCCTAGCCAGTTATTAAAACTACAAGGTAGTTAGTTTGAGGAAGATGTTCTGCTTTTGTCATGATCCATACACATAGTTATTAATTATGTTTTGATATGGTAGTAGTGCAGAGAGGCCCCAATCAGAATTGGGCCCCATTGTGCTAGGCACTGCACCAAGATATACAAGATAAAGTCCCTGCCCTAAATAGCTCCCAGTCTAGGAAGACAAGTGCATATTAAGGTTGAGAAAAGAGAGATTCAGTCAAATTAGTACAATTGTTACATATATTTGTATTTCAATAGTTGTAAATATTTATTATATTATTAATAATGATGAATTATCTATAAATAAAGTGCTAACTAAACTGCCTATGCCCTGAAAACCATCACTGGCTGAGTTCTTAAAAGCACCACAACAGACGTGGGTCTTAAAGAGAGATCTTAAGAACAACACAGTGGCCTGACGAATCACGTAAGAGTTAGCATTAAAAGAGGCATACTAAAAGAGGTGATTGTTGGAGAAACAGATGATTGGGTTAGCAGGGCTGGCACTGCTGGCAAGAGGGAGCGAGGCAGCAGGGATGATGAGGCAAGAAATAAGAGCAGACCAGTAAGGAGAGGGGTTGTAAAGAGTCTCGAAGGTTAGAATGAGAAGTGGGATCTCAATGTGGTGCCATTGCTATTAATCTTTGGTTTTGTTACAAAAAAGTCAACAAAAACCTCCGTTTTAGTCCTGAGCCACTTGTCACTGTCCTTTTAGCAGTAGAGATAAAAGGAGAGAGGGGGAATTTACACAGAAAAGAACCACAAGGCCAAGAACTGACCCTGGGGGAGGCCCACAGAAAAGAGGGCTCAGATACCACATTGATGTCCAGGAGAATGAGGAGGGAGGAGCCTGTGCCTGGTGCAGCTGAGGAGTGGGCAACATGGTGCTACCTTTCCATTCTCCTGACCTTGCACGAAAACAACCCCTGGTGTAACTTACAGCAGCTTTAAGATTTCTCTAAATGATGCTGCCTGCAGACAGTGCCTGAGGCAGCAGTATCAGAGTATCACTCTATCCCACCCACCCTGCTTCTGGCACATATCATAAGGCACATGCTAGGGATGAGTGGTGAGACAGGTAACATAGGAGGCTTTGCATATATTGATATAGGAATGATTATTCACGGCTCTGCACCTTGTGTAGTCATTGACATCTATGCAGATTGGGGTAAAATGCGACCGTTCCAATTTGGTATGTTCCATACCCACTTTGCATTCAGCTTTGAATCGCTGTAAATGATTTCACAAGGTGCAGGGAAATGGGGAATCCGCTTTCTTCTCCACTCACTCACACCTGTATAAATCAGGAGTCACTCCACGGATGTCAATAGATTTACACTGATTTTACATCACGGTAAGTAAGAGCAAAATCAGACCTGTGGTGGGGGGTATATAGAGATTTAATAAGTAAGCAGAAAAATGATATATATTAGAGAGTTAGAAAAGTTAGCCTCTGGTGCCTCCCCTTGTGCCCAGTCCTGCCCCTTCCCATCTGCCCCCCCCACGCCTGCAGGAACCAAGGTCACCCCCGCCCTGGCCCCCAGCCTCAGCGCTGGGCAGCCAGGGGGTGAGGCCTCAGCCCTGATGTGCCAGGCAGCAGTGCTCCTGGCCCCGGTGCTCCAGGAGGCGTGGCCAGCCCCCATGCTCCAGGCGGCACGGCCCCAGCACCAGCCGCCCTGACTTCCTGTAGGAAGCAGGCCAGCCAGCCCTAGCCAGCCTGGGCCAGCCAAGCAGTGTGCTTTGGAAATTGCAGGAGGGGGCCTGGCCTGGGGGCGGAGCATGGGCAGGGCCATGCTAGGTTGTTTGGGAAGGTACAGCCTACCCTTGCCTTTGATACCTGCCACCCAAGCACACAACATAGGGAGCCAAGAACAAATCACTGGGGAGGGAAGAGGCCTAAGAAGCAGGTAAAGTGACCAGATTATGTTAGAAGTGTTAGGAGAGCAAGGATGAGGGAGCAGAGACTAAAGAACCAGATCCAGATATCTATATAGAGTCCAAGTAAATGGGCTGCGCACAAGGGAACTACCCAGCCTATGAAAGGTGTAATAAAGTGGCCATGACATTTTGCTATGGCTCAGAGGTCTGACTACAAGCATAAGGTTTCACCCTGGCTTTCTTCAGCCAAGTTACTCCTTGCAGAGTGCCCTCAACAACACCTTCTGGTCCCAAGTCTCCACAAATCTATTTCCCAGAATTCTTAACTACCAGACACTTGGGCTTTTCCCCTCTGGTTCATCACAGAATGGCATGAAACCTGCCCCAAATATCAGTTCACTTTGGCACACACACAGTCTGCACACTAGAGACCTGCTTGGGGTAAAAATAAACAAAAAGTTTATTTAATGGAAAAATCACAGATTCAAAGATGGAAATAGTAAGGAAAAGCGAAAACATACAAGTTACTCAGAAAATAACCATAAAGACGCATCATCAGGCACTGTAGGTCTATATTAGCTAAATTCCCTTTTCTAATACAAATTAACCACTGCCTCTGAACAGTTTCCCAGCATGCCCTCTGTCTGAAAGGGGATCCAGTGTTTCACAGACAGCATCCCACTTAGATGTTGGCCCTCTGTTTCGATAGACGTCACTTCAAAATCCTCCCTTCCTTTGTAACAGGGTTTGCAGGTTTTTTTCCCTCTTTCTTTCAGACAATTGTAACGCAGAGCAGGGGAAACTTCCTCCTCCTTAGTCTTCTAAGGCCAGGTCTAGACTACAAATTCAACCTTATGTCGACTTAGCCCTGTGTCTACACTACAGCACAATGCAGCCACTATAAGTCCTCCACTACACTGACCTAATAACTCTACCTCCACAAGAGGAGTAGTGCTTAGGTTGATGTAGTTAGGACAGTGCAGTGTCTGTGTAGACCCTGCATTATTTACATTGCCCGTCAGTGCCATGCAGGCTGTCAGCACTGGTCAGCGGGGCTCCGCACAGAGCCAACAGCCCAAGCTGTCAGCATCAGGCAGTGGGGCTCTGCACAGAGCCGACAGCCCGGGCTATCAGCATCCAACAGTGGAACTCCCAGCTGAAGGATTCATGCAAAGTCTACAGAACTGGGCTGTCAGCGCCTCACACTGCCACACTTAAGTCGGTGCAAGCGCTTGTGGTGAGGATTAGCACCACTGGCAGGGGAACTGTAGCATGGACATGAAAAACCAAAGTAATTAGTGCGATGGCTGTACGTCTGTTACGTCAACTTAACTGTGTAGTGTAGACAAGGCCTAAGAATGGTGTTTCCTTTTCAGTGTCAATGTCTTTCCATTAACATTAATGGTCCATCATTGATTTTTTCTGGGTTGTAAAATGCTAGGTGCTGGGAGTTTTGTGTAAACAACTAGCCTGGAAGGTCCCCCAATTACAATTGCCATTTTCTACACGCATATACATGCATACATTCATAAACATAACCTGCATACATATCTCCTAATGACTCTTAAGTTCAGAACATTACAAGCTTTCAGCAGAGATTTTACGAGACATATTTATACATAACATTATATACAAGCTGTTGATTCAGTTGCTTGTTCTTTGGGGTTTCAGACACCCTTTTCTCCATTTAGGGTATCTGGACCCTAATTGTCACACCTGTGTTATTCAATAAGTGAGTAATCCTCAAGTAAACTACATCTTTGAAACATATTAATATCTACTTTCCCATTCTATAAAGATTATTTCTTTCTCCATGCTTGTATTATTTTTTCCTTATTGCTTGATTCCTCCCCTTCTTTGAGCTGTGCCCCTGCTTTGTAAAATGAAGTATCCATTACATGTCGAGAAAATGGTCTTGATGAATCACAAAAACCCACATAATTTACTATAGCATCCCTCAATGCAGCTTTTCAGTATAATTTAAGGCATTATTGAAGATAAAGGATTCATTAAAACAGCTGCCTGCAAAACTGTTCCTTTGGATGTTTCCATGAAGCACCAGTCAAAGAAAAATTAAACATTATACGCTAATGATATGCAAAAAGGATGCAAAAGCGATTTAGTTTTGCTACATGAGCATTGAGATGTTAATATGATATTTTTAAATAGATACTACTCTCCAGTCCTTTTATGTGCTAAACTTCAAGCGCCAAAAAACTGTTATTACTTTTCAGCACATATATACATATAATAAAAACAACAATAAAACATATGGCACAATTACCATGGCTGCTTATCAAGTATGAATTCATGAGCACAGAATTATGTATTATTATTTTTATATTGCTGCTTCCCAGCCACTAAACATTTTTATTATGGACGGGCCTGAATCAAATCCCCAGATCTAAATGCCCCCACATTTGTTTAGATTTTCTACTGGCCCCTAACCTTTGCAATGGACTGAAACAAAATATCAGATGTGGACAACACTGGCCTCTAGATCCCAGTGCTATGTTTCTAATTCATAACTTCTTCTGTAACCACACACAGCCAATCTCAGTTGGTCCCGGTGCAGGCTTCCACCAGGCTTCCACATACTGAATATGTATCCTCTAGTAATATTTTGGACCAACTCTCTCCACGTCATTGTGGACATTGTTCCCTTATGAAGCAGAGAAGTCCCAGCACTCTTTAACTGGAAAGTATTTGTCAGCAGTTGGCTCAAACCAGGATTCATATTTACAGTAACATGTTTATTAAAGTTGCTTTAATTAATTCACAAGAAGGTTTCATAAAAACCAGTAGGCCAAATAATCTTTTATGTAAGCGCTGCCTTGCCCTACACAATCTGCCTGTGAAGCCATCTTAACTAGGCCCTGAAAGAGGGTACAGCTGAGGGACTTTCATGCCTATTACCCCTACTGCTACAGATTTGACAGGAAAGACAGGGGCGGACATGTCTGGACGAAGGAAGTATGGACAGGACACCCTGCACTATGCTAATCTTCACCTGTTTTTAGCCCCTTGTGACCATTGCAACTCTGCTTAAATTGCAGCAGCCCTCACACTGCAGGGGGACTGAACTGCACAGAATAGTAGCAAAATAATAGGACTGCAAAGGTGAACTTTAAGCCACACCCTTGCACAGACTATACATGACGTGCACTCCATGCTGCTTGACCACATTGCAAGATCTAGCCCATTAAGTTTAACTTTTCCTCAAATAAATTGTTTTGATCTGCATTACCCAGTTGTCTTCTAAGTAACAGCAGAGAAGGAATAAGAAATACCCAGGTAGTTCTTTCAACTAAACGCTCCTTTCACCAGTAGGTTTTTGTCTGGGAATCAGTTGATTTCCACATGCATTTTTATTTTTTTTTTACCCCTTTGAAAAAAAAGTATTCTTTCATAGTCACACTTGATCAATGATTTTTTGCTGAGATACAAAGGAGAAAAAATTAATGTTAATAATGTCAAATAATGTTAATGATGTAAAAGATCAAGCAAAGATCCCAAGACAGAATGCAGGAGCCAAAACCTATCACTGTAGCTCAATAAATCACTGAACTACTTTATGACTCTCAGTGAATAATGCAGAATATTGCTGACTCTTTGTGAACAGATGTATTGTGACAAATAATGAACAGTTCTTTTCATTTCTTTAATATATTTTCTATGCCAAGAAAAGTGCTTTTTATGTTCTTTATAATTAGCAGTCACAAGGTGTTTGCATCCACCACCTTGCAAAAGTGTATACTGTATATAAGAAAGTAATGTCATGTAGAGTATACATTTTATAACTGTACTGGATAACCATAAGACCACTGGTTTTCAAAAACACATTGATTACAAATGTATCAATGTTAAAAACATAGCATATAAAGATAACAATTCTTTATTTGTTACCAGGCATATTTTGGATAAACAGAAAACAGGTCCTTCAAAACTCACAGGCAGAGATATGTCCTTCCATATGATACATTTCTACTTTTGCTAAATCACATGTAGAAATAACTTTCATTCATCTGATGGACATACTGAACCATACATTCTGTTGCTTTCTGGAAGTATTTATAGTCATTTTAAGTCTCATAGACTATGTTTCTATAGTGACTATTTAGTAATATTATATTTAGAATATGTCAGTCTTAACAAAAAAAATTAAACATTTTACATAGGTTTAATTATTAGGAAGATGTATTTAACTAAATACTGGTGTATCTTTATCCTAGTTTCTGGAAGCCAAAACTAGTAGATCCATTTTTCTGCAAGACAAAGAAAAGACTGAGTAGAAGCATCACAGCAAATAGACAATCAAACACTTTCTAAACACACAAAAATGAAGGCAATTGAATTGTTGTAAAGAGATATTGGGGCCAGATACTTAGTGGTCAGATACTATGGGTAGGCATCACCGTGCTAGGGTTGGGCTTCCTATGAGTAGGCATCCCCACCCCAGCATTACAGTTCTTATGGGTAGGCATCTCCTCCCTAGCATTAGGGTTTCTATGGGTAGGGGACTTTGGGCTAGGCTTACCGTTCCTATGGGTAGCAGTCCCGGCTCAAGTTTTAGGGTAACGTAAGATCGAAACAATGTTAAGTGAGAGGACGTTAAGTGGAGAGTTACTGTATCACTAAGTTCAGCTTGCGTGGGTGGCAAGTTAGACTGGACTGCCCAATAGGACTGTCTGTGACTCCATGGTAAGATTGTTATAATGCTTAGAAATTCACACTTGTTACTGGGTTGGTGCAATCTAATTATAGAACATACAACTAGTTTGGGGTCTCTGCCCTGCTTCTTGACAGTCTGCCCTGATGTTGGCACTCACGGCTGTGAGCCACTCTAGACAGTGTGACAGATGTCACCGGAAACCGTCACTGAAACAAAAATGGTATTGCATTTTGTGAAAGATACTTTGGAAATTTGAGAGAGAAAACAGAGCATTTAATCCAATCTGCTACAGTGTAATCTTCCTACAACTTACCTTTAATTTTGAAATAGCAGGGTTCACAATGTACAGTATTTCTGTAAATCCAAATGCTGTCTCCTGCTTTCAGATCTTCCAGAGGTCTTTTGCACACTTCACACTTTAACACATAATTATATGCACAGTCTTATGTAAAAAACACATCCAAAAATTTGTCTAATATTTATTTAAGTTCCAGCATGTAAGCATCCAAGGACAGAATTGTGGCCAATAGTATTTCAGTGTCACTGAACACAATCTCTCCAAGGAATATCAATCCTAATCAGCATAGTCAAATTATTATTTTCATGCGGTGCCCAAGGTTCAGTACCTTCTGCCTTGCAAACTGTAGATTTTCCTCCCCAATATTCTTAATTCCCTTTTCCACTAAGGTGGTTCAGATAAGTGTGCTGTTTAACAATCTTGACCTTTATGAAATAGATAGCTGAAACAACAGGATTCACTTCCCAAAACACAGGCCATGCAAGACTGGTACAGAAACTGAACTCTGAGTGCAAGAGCGAGGTGCATTCAGAAACACCACAAAAGGAGACCAAAAAAGGCAGCAAGGAAGAACCAGACACAGAAGCACTGATAGTTTGCCACTGAGAAAAAACTAAAAGCGTTGACTAGAAAAGAGCTTGGAACTGTGAGCAGTGAAATTGTCTCTTGCTTGATTCTTACTGTGTTCAGGGAAATGGGACTTTACATACATTCTAAATAAACATGATTACGTGAAAGAAATATCTGATTCCATCATCAATTTCTCTCCTAATAGAGACAACCCACAAGATTCCACATTTTGGCTAACTGTTCACATCAAAAGGGGTAACTTTACCTATGCTGTACTGCCCAGCCTCACTAACTCCTACTAGTCCCTGGAAAATACAGCTCCTTCATAAGATTTCCAGAGCATCCTAACAATTAATGTCCCCTGAACTCCTCCTAGAAAGGAGTGGTAAGAGGGTTCTGTGACATGTAGGGGATAAGACTGCAAGTCAATACAACTGAAGGCTTCTCTTGCAGGATTAGTGGGTGGGAAAATCTGAAGCAGCCCTGCTGGTTCCCTCACCACCCATAGGACCGGAAGAGGGGAAAAAGAGGTGCATGGTGCCAAGGCAAAAACTTCCGTCTCCCAGTGCAGGCTCTGTTCTGCTCCTGGAGGGAGAGGTGCTAAGGCCTACACATTGTTTTATGATATATGTAATATAATTCATGTTGTTCAGGATATATTTTTATTTATATTTCATGGCAGGAAGTGAAACCCCTTCTTACCTTGAAGCAAGTTGAGTGACAGCAAATCTGTAAGGCATCTAAGATCATTTTGGAATCTATGCCCAATGGCTTCCGGCAGTATGTACACATATCTTTTTCAATTATACTCCTGTGTGTACATAATATAACACCAACTGTGAGAAAAGCAGCCCCCATTGAAATCAAGAGGGAGAACTGATTAATTTAGTATATTACTGTGGAAGGCCATTAGTATACAGCACATCAGTCAGGAATGTAATAATGATGCATCGATATTCCATGTTCTAATTAATGGTAGTGATGTATGCACTGCAGGGATGGGCAACCTGATTAATACATTTACCAGGTAGCAAGAATACTGGCCTTATTTGGTGAGCTGAATGATTCTAAATAGCAGTCAGAATGTATTAAGTTGCTGGCTACCTGGGAGTGTACACAGTAAGGTACCTGTGTACCCAGTAGCTGGGAGGGTGTTGCTCAGCACAGGTAGACAGTATCTCTGCTCCAGGTAGCACACTAAAATAGCAGTGTGGCTGCAACAGCATGGGTGGTGGGTCAGGCTAGCTGACTGAATATGTACCTGGAGGGGCCACACAAACGAGATTGTACTCGGATAGCTGGCCTGAGCCACCATCCATGCCACTACAGCCACACTGCTATTTTTAGCACACTGGCTCAAGAAGTTGCTGTACAGACATACCTTAAGTGGAGGGAGCAGGGATGGAAGCTAGTGATTAGGAGAACTTAATATCTCAGAGAAGCATTCCCAGCAACTTGATGGTTGGATTTAGACTCTCAGTCGAGTGCCCAATCTTGCACTGAGTTTTGGTGCAGAAGCAGCTGGAAGCAGTTTCCTGCTCTCATTGCCGTCAAATTAACATGTGTACTGTTTGGATCATAGATATTAAGGTCAGAAGGGACCATTATGATCATCTAGTCTGACCTCCTGCACAATGCAGGCCACAGAATCTCACCCACCCACTCCTGCGATAAACCTCTCACCTATGTCTGAGCTATCGAAGTCCTCAAATTGTGGTTTAAAGACTTCAAGGAGCAGAGAATCCTCCAGCAAGTGACCTGTGCCCCATGCTACAGAGGAAGGCAAAAAACCTCCAGGGCCTCTTCCAATCTCCCCTGGGGGGAAATTCCTTCCCGCCTGCCCTGGGGGGAAATTCCTTCCCGACCCCAAATATGGCGATCAGCTGAACCCCGAGCATATGGGCAAGATTCACCAACAAGATACTACAGAAAATTCTTTCCTGGGTAACTCATCCTCTCAGTTCTCTTTACCTTTTTTTGTCATATTGTCCCCGATCTTTTCTCTAGACATCCTCATCTGCTGTTGCTGTGCTGGTTGCATAAATTGAACTAATTTTGCTCACATCCACACACTGTTATGCTCCTGTATCCATTCCCATTTACTGCTGCTGTTTGCTCTATAAGACTATCCATACCTACACCCCTAAACATTCACATTTTAGCCCTATTTTCATTATGAGTTTTTCTGAATGTGATTATTCCCAAATAATGGGAATGTGAATATTATCTGAATTTAAAATAGTGGGCACAGTTAAAAACTTATTTTTATTGATAGGTGAGGTATTACTGATTTGAGCAGGTATTCCCTCTGTACTTGGAAATATCTTACCTACTGTTACAAATAAAACTTTTAAGTGCAAACCACCTCCCACTCCCCATATCAGTCTATTTATCCATCTCTGTGGTCTAAACATTTGTCCATTACAGACTGTCTCCACTATAGCAAAGAGAATTGTCCAAAACCAACATCTGCCAAAAGTAGATATATACAGAAGCTCAGAGCCAACTCTATCACCTAAAGCACTGGCCATTGTTTTATTAAAGATTGTAAATGTCAGCACTGGCAAGACTAAGGGCATGGCTATATGAACAGTTAGTGCATGGCAGGCTGGGGTATAAATCTACTTCGTGTTAGTCTGCCGTGCACTAACTGTCTGTGTGGATCTGTTGATCAAAGGGCACTAGGGAACATATAGTGCATGGCAGGAGGATCTACACAAACAGTTAGTGTGCAGCAGGCTAGTTTGAGGTAGATTTGCACTCCAGCTTGTCGCAAACTGACTGTTTGTATAGACAAGCCCTAACGTAATGTAACTTATAATGCAGAGCACAAGGCCATGGAAATGGCAAGGTTCCATTGAAAGGCAGGCCTGTCTGAGTAGACAGTCTGATCATGATTGTGGTGGCTTCCACTCTGCTTGTTTGTCTGTAGATATGGGTGCTATTGTAAAATGTCAGTGTTCCTCGATAGCACACTGCACTATTCATAGATACTTACCGATCAGAAGTAGAGTAAACAGTTTTGATAGACTTTCCAGTGACATTTTCTTCATATGCATCATTGGGTGATTTGCTGTAATGTAGTGAATGATTTGTAGTTAGCAAGCAATACTTTTGGCTTTTCAAGGCTTTCCTGAAATAAGGAAACTGTGCACTTCATAAATGCTAACATGTACCCGAACCAGTGGTCACGTGGTAAAAATAAATTGAGAGATGAGTTTTGTCATTTTTTGTTTTAACACTCAATTGAGAAAATAAATCTCAGTTTAATGTAAATTAAAACTAAATGCCAAGTTTTATGCTGTGCTGTTTTATAATTCCTTAGCATTTCAAACTGAAATCACAAACCCATCAAGGAAAATCTGAAAAATGATATTTTTACTGCATGTGATCTAAATGTTATAGATTGATCAGTTATAAGGTCAGAAGAGATCACTATGATCATCTAGTCTGACCTCCTGTATTACCCAGGCCAGAGGACTCCCCTGAATTAATTCCTGTTTGAACTGAAGCATATCTGTTAGAAAAAGCATCAGGAGCCAGAGAAATGCCATGTTTTTCTACCAGTGCAAGAAGAGCTGCCCTTTTAGTACTGGCCAATCATTTTTTGCTAAAATTGTGATGTATCCCTAGAAGTACAGTGAGCACCATTAAAATATAAAGTTGTTTGTTACAGAATGGTATGTCTAGTTACCACAGTAATTGTAAAGCTCCTTATACTGAGAACAGGAAATACTGTAGTAAATTTAACTATTTGGGGAGCTAAATGTTCAGTTTTTTAACCGAGCTTGTTCTGGCTACTTTATTGTCAAGAATAAATTTCATTGAGCACACCAATAACCATCAGTTGGGAGGCAGATAAGAAAGTCAACCTGCCAAGCAAATTCACAGCTTTTGAACTTTTCTGAACTTATTTAATAACCCTATTTCCTTAAGACTACATTGGTATTACCATAAAGTAATAAGAAAAGGAGTATTTGTGGCACCTTAGAGACTAACCAATTTATCTGAGCATAAGCTTTCGTGAGCTACAGCTCACTTCATCGGATGCATACTGTGAAAAGTGTAGAAGATCTTTTATACACACAAAGCATGAAAAAATACCTCCCCGCACCCCACTCTCCTGCTGGCAATAGCTTATCTAAAGTGATCACTCTCCTTACAATGTGTATGATAATCAAGGTGGGCCATTTCCAGCACAAATCCAGGGTTTAACAAGAACGTCTGGGGGAGGGAGGGAAATTAGGAAAAAACAAGGGGAAATAGGTTACCTTGCATAATGACTTAGAGACTGGGAGTGGCTATTCAAGCCTAAGTTAATTGTATCCAATTTGCAAATGAATTCCAATTCAACAGTTTCTCGCTGGAGTCTGGATTTGAAGTTTTTTTGTTGAAGAATTGCAACTTTCATGTCTGTAATCGTGTGACCAGAGAGACTGAAGTGTTCTCCGACTGGTTTATGAATATTAAAATTCTTGACATCTGATTTGTGTCCATTTATTCTTTTACGTAGAGACTGTCCAGTTTGACCAATGTACATGGCAGAGGGGCATTGCTGACACATGATGGCATATATCACATTGGTAGATGTGCAGGTGAACGAGCCTCTGATAGTGTGGCTGATGTTATTAGGCCCTGTGATGGTGTCCCCTGAATAGATATGTGGGCACAGTTGGCAATGGGCTTTGTTGCAAGGATAGGTTCCTGGGTTAGTGGTTCTGTTGTGTGGTATGTGGTTGCTGGTGAGTATTTGCTTCAGTTTGGGGGCTGTCTGTAGGCAAGGACTGGCCTGTCTCCCAGGATTTGTGAGAGTTTTGGGTCATCCTTCAGGATAGGTTGTAGATCCTTAATAATGCGTTGGAGGGGTTTTAGTTGGGGGCTGAAGGTGACGGCTAGTGGCGTTCTGTTATTTTCTTTGTTAGGCCTGTCCTGTAGTAGGTGGCCAGAAGTCACCAATTCTTCAACAAAAAAACCTTCAAATCCAGACTCCAGCGAGAAACTGTTGAATTGGAATTCATTTGCAAATTGGATACAATTAACTTAGGCTTGAATAGAGACTGGGAGTGGCTAAGTCATTATGCAAGGTAACCTATTTCCCCTTGTTTTTTCCTAAGGCCCTCCGCCCCCAGACGTTCTTGTTAAACCCTGGATTTGTGCTGGAAATGGCCTACCTTGATTATCATACACATTGTAAGGAGAGTGATCACTTTAGATAAGCTATTGCCAGCAGGAGAGTGGGGTTGGGGGAGGTATTTTTTCATGCTTTGTGTGTATAAAAAGATCTTCTACACTTTCCACAGTATGCATCCAATGAAGTGAGCTGTAGCTCACGAAAGCTTATGCTCAAATAAATTGGTTAGTCTCTAAGGTGCCACAAGTACTCCTTTTCTTTTTGCGAATACAGACTAACACGGCTGTTACTCTGAAACCTGTCATAAAGTAATAATTACATAGTTTGTATCACCATTTTATAAATACAGTTAAAAATAAGTTTACAGTAGTGGTTACTTGTCTTAGATGCCTTCTTTCAGAGATTAAGGCATTAATTGGGACTCAGGAAATCCTGGTTCCATGCCTAGTTGTGCCACAGACTTCCAGACTCTCATGGGAGTTCCACCATGGCAGGACATCTCTAATTTTCACTAGAAAACTCCACAGTAGCCCAGGTGGCAGAGGCTGCCCCAAAGGGATACAATGAACTGCATCCCACAGTCTGCATGACCATAACACTTCACGCATCTAGTGCTACCTACTTTTCAGGCTGTGTTGGCTTTTGAGGGGAGGCTGTAGTCGCATTACATCATTGCAACCTCTTTCCAGTGAGCGTCCCTCTGCTGAGAAACCTGTACCCTGGCTTTACACCAAGCCACCAAAAACCAGATCTGAATTTAGTTTGCCATGGTCTTTACTTTAATCACAAGTGGCCAAGTCAGAGAGGTTGCTATGCATGTGTAAACATCCATATAAGTCAGAGTCTCCTGTTCATCTCTGCATTTTTATATCTGTATTTTTCAGTTGTACCTGGCCTCTCTGAACTTCTCTTTGCTGTTCCAATTGTTTCTCTCCAATCTGCTCTCCGAATCTTTCCCGTACGTAGTCTCCTCGTATGTCCTTGTGTACACAACTTTATTCTTTGGACTTGAGTAACTGGTTGAAGTATTATTTCTGAAATACACAAACACATGTATAACTACATCTTTAAAAAAAGATTAATTATACTATATGCAAAACAATTATGAGAGGCTGTAAATAATAACAAGGATAATTCCTAAACCTGAATTTCACTGATTATTTTAGACTCCAATCTTGCCCTCATAAAGTTCCGGGGAGCCTGGGCCCTCAGTCAGCAACTGAGTGCATGTTGTTTCATATGATAGCAGGAAACTATTCACTACATAGAATAGAGATGTACAAAAATAATTAACATTGGGATGAAATCTAATCCTCCTTCCCCTGGAAATTCCATATTCTGAAGAATTGTTTTTAGTTTCAATCCTGCCACTCTCCCCTTAATTTGCCATGTTGCTACCTGGTCTAGTACCTATAACAAAGTACTTAGCACTCTTCTGAAGAATTAACTATGTAAAAATAGATAGAACAACATATGAGGACATTTCATTTCATTTCAATACTTTTAATGAATTAATCTGGTTTTCTAGTCCCAGTAAAGGGTACATATTCTGTCAAGTTTAAAGGGAACACTACATGCTGCAGCTCACTCTTTGCCTACTATTATGGTTTTATTTCCATTACACTACTCAAAGCTAGTCACAAGGTTACAAAAGCCATGACAACTGAGAAATTGTATGCCAGCTGCAAAATGTTGATGAATGTGTGTGTTGAATATTTATTCTGAGTCCTGAAGTTATGTTTCCTTTCATTCTTGGCCAAATTGTCGCCCAGGCCTATGTGGCAATGCACAAGTGTAAGAGTAAGCAAGAACCCTCAGCATCCTGTTGCAGATGTAGGAAGAAGAGCAAGGATTGTACACCTGGTTCTTTCTTCCCCTCTAAGCAAGAGGTAGGGAGTGGGTGGAGAGGGCAGGGATGGGTGGAGCCTTGGCTCCAGCTGACACAATGCACGTCCCATTCCTCAGGACTGAATGGCATCTTGAACTGCTTTGGATAAAGGTCAGTAGCAGAATTCTTCCACGCTCCTCCCTGACAAGGAGCAAGTGAGGAGGAGTGAAGGAATTATGGTTCAAAGTCACAGTTCCTTCCCTTTACTCCTCCTAGGTACGTGAAGTTATGGACTGCCACTTACACAGGACTGTGCTTAAAGGCACAGTCTAGCCCTGTGTTAGTAATATGGTTGTGCTGTTTGCTCTTGAAGAGTGACTATACTCATTTTCATGTTTAAACAGAAATGTCACTGAGGCTTTCAATTCCTCATCCAGAATGTTCTTTCATTCAGGCAGAAAGATATACTGTTTATTTGTTGTCAAAAGGTTTTTAATCATTTGATAATCCTGTTATGACTTTGTGCAGAAAAACATGTTATTTCTTATTTTCACCTGCTTTCCTGCTACCCTTCAATAAGTGGCAAGTTGGTACTTTTTCCAGGCATCCAGCATATAAATTTGGTCAATTTTCACTGAGATTTACAATATAAGTGTCTGTAGTTACAGATTCTAGCTAAAGGAAGAGACTCCAGCACTGAAAGGGAAGCATCTTTTAAAAAAATCTATTTTGCTTCAGTCTGTGCATGGCCTGTAAGGCAGAAAACTCAGTACAGTTCTGCTGAGAAAGGTGAGAGATGACACACGGTGTCTCTGCCCACCATATGCCTTGGAGCAGTGTGACCTGGAGGTTCTGTCCATAGCATCATGGAAGGAGGTTTCTGGGTGGGGCAGAGAGTGTAAGGGCACAACCCCAGTAAATATATCCTTTGTTTTCCTTGCCACTCCACAGGCTGGTGGGAGGATTCCAGTCTCTATGGAACTTCTGCACATAAAGCCTGTTCACCTGGATTTTGTGTAAGGAAGAGTGCTTGAGGCATTATTTATTTATTTAAACTTTGTAACTCATTGACTACAGCACCTGGATCCTCTGTTGTCATAAAAGTAGTTTGTGTCAGATCGGTTATTTGGAGCATTAGCAGAATCAGAGGGTTGCTCAGTTGTCCTGAAATAAACCAAGGACAAGACAAAGATTTATGACACAAAGTATATTTTTAAATCATGCACAGTCAGACCACTTTCAGTGATGCCTGAATGTGGCCATGTGTTACTAACATTAGAAAGTGAACAGGAGACTTTTTTTTCCTTTTTTTTAAAAAAGGGTGTGAATTTAGAAGCCATGAAATATGGCAGATTGGCAGTCCAGCAGACTAAATCCTTCTGCGTGCCCCCAGACATCTCAAGCTGTGGGGGCATCAACCATGCAAGTTTTCTCATATAGCTTCTATGGTGACCTGGAGGGACCATCTCTAGGTTGTGAGCCAATTGTTCAGTGTCCATCCGCAAACAGTCCCTGGCAACTCTAATGAGAGTGGTGACAAGGTTGCCAATTAGTGCCTTGTGGCGGTGGTTTTGTGATGTGGACATTTACCAGTTGGCAACTGGACCAAGACCTCCAAATAAAGGATGGTCAAAACAAGAACCATTTTATTCACCCCCCAAACTCCTAAACTTTGGAAAGAGTTATTCAGCTGAAGACGACCCACATCCAAACTGATCTTAGTAGTTTGGGTCTATTTTCTGTCTGGAGCTAGTACTGGCTCTAGTTTGGTCATCACACACCTCCATCCTTTTGTCCAAGCCCATTCCCTGGCACATCCACTCTCGCCACCTGTCCAACGCCCAGTGATGTCACTTACCTGGGGAAGGAGCTTGGTGGCTTTTACCAACTGCTCCTCCTTGATAACTTCAGGGAGTCCTTATCAGCCATTTCAGGTGGCTCACTGAATGCTCCCTAATCCTTGAAGAAGCTAATAAGGAGCTACTACCTAGCCCTCTTGCCCTGAAGACATCAGGAGGGTGAAAGCTATAAAGACCACTATCCACACGAAAACAAGACATCTGCAGGTATGCGGTCAGCAAGGATGGGGCAAGAAGAATCCCTTGTGGGTCTGTGAAAGAGGGAGAGAGCTGGGGAGGGTGGGGGGATAAAGAGGCTGTGCTTCCACCAGACAGGGTGCACAAATACACACATAGAATCTGAAAATGAGGCCACTAAAGACACCAAAAGGCCATAGAACCTCATGTCAAGATGACAACAGCAGCTAGTTTGGTATGGAGATGTTGGTATGATCGCAAGACCTGTTCTGGCAAGGGGATTGTGTGGGGTACAAGGCTCTGGGTTTTGTTGGGGACCTCTGTAGACTTGGATACATGTCCAAACTTTTAAATGTTTTTCTCATTAATTGAATGCCAAACTCTGTAAGGTTCCCATTAATAGTTTTCATTTCTACTGTCAAATTGCTGTGTTGATTGTGGGGTTTTTATATGTTATCTGTATTTCTGCAATGTTGGCAATGGATTTTTGGATACATATTACATTTTAAATGGGGACTTTAAAAATACCAGCACAGAACAGATACACAGATTTTTAACAACAAAAAATAAGGAATCAATATTGGGGTTAATTTTTTTTAAAACTAGAATTTTATTTCAGTTCAGGAACAAGCCACATGGAAAACAGGGTCCAAAGAACATGTTTTGGTGCAATACGGTGATGGGTGCATTAGAAATGACTAGCTAGCTGCTAGATAGACAAACAAAGCAGCACCAGGATTCCTGTATACATATCCCAGTTTCCTAGAGTTTTCATGGCTCTAAACAGGACATTCTACAGAGCATAAACTTAACCTCATCAACCTAATGCAGTGATTTAAATAGGAAATACTAACAATATTTGTGATTTTTTTTAAACAGTGAAGCTCAAACAAAAGGCGACTATCACCGTATGTCAAAAGCTACAACTCTGCCAAAAGTTAAATTCAGAGAGAAAGTGATAACCAGGAGCCTGAACACTGGTTATTTTGCCTGCTGTTTGATTTGCTGCAGTGAGATTGCCAAGGTCTGGATTCTCCACTAAATGAATCTTCCTCCATTTCAGTGTTTTACATGCACAGCATGTAGCATGAAGCAGTATCCTCCCTTGTGCCTCAACCTTGATGTGGCAGAACTAGTTTAAGAGCTGAGAGAGAAGTTGATTCTCTATATACTTTCAGTCTTTGCCTCTCTGATGAGACTGCTAGCCAGGGTAGTATCTTGATAGGGACTTTTGTGATGTGAACACCTCTATTTTAAGAAAAGGATTGAAATTATTAATTTACTGAAATGACTAATTCTTCTTAAATATTTAGAGTGGGAGGGGGTTCCATTCAGATATAAAGTTTAATGAAGGATTCTCTCTAAATGAAGACAAAATACCATGAATGTTTTCCCTGAAAGACTGACTGCTAAATTTAGTTACATTAAATGAAGCAAGCATCAGAGGGGTCGCCATGTTAGTCTGGATCTGTAAAAGCGGCAAAGAGTCCTGTGGCACCTTATAGACTAACAGACGTATTGGAGCATAAGCTTTCGTGGGTGAATACCCACTTCGTTGGATGCACACCCACGAAAGCTTATGCTCCAATACGTCTGTTAGTCTATAAGGTGCCACAGGACTCTTTGCCGCTTTTAAATGAATCAAGACTTCAACAGCTCAATTGACCAGGAACCCTAGAAGCACTGATGTACACTTTAAACTATCAAACACCTTAATACACCTACAAGTACTTCTTTGTGACACCAAGACATTTGCATGCACTAAGGGAGTAATGTGTTCTGACTTTTTAAAAAAATAAATAAATACAGCTATATATTAATTATATTAGGCAAATTTATAAATACATTCATATGTCTTTCTAAAGATCTGAAACTTTGACATGCTTGCATTGCTAAGGAACATTCCCATGCACAGTACTGCACAGGAAAATGCTCCACCACTACAAACCATTTTAATTTTCAATGACTAAGACCGCGCTATGAATTAAGTCTTACCGATTTTTATTTTGCTCCACAGGAGCCTTTACTTCAATGCGATCATCAAGATCTTGGCCTCTGTGAAAATGAAATATACCTCAGTGTTGGTCAAAATGTTCAATTCAACTATAAATTAGCTATAAGGATGGACTTGCATTTTAAAAAGGAAAAAGCATAGAATTTTTCCACAGGTAAGAGATTGCTGACTACACTGCACCATTGTCCTGGTTGCTGACAAACACTACTTTCCAGGAGAGAGAGTCCCCCATCTTTATTATTTATTAAAGCAGATGTATGCTGAGCATTTTGAGTTTCAATAATAGAAAATAAAATCCTCTGTAATATCTACATTGAATTATTTCCATTTACTATCTTGTATTTATTTGCAAGTTAAAAAGAAATTAACATGGGTTTTACTTTAATAACCTAGACCAAGACAATTAATTGTTGTTAGTTTTGACGCCTGTAACCACATTTACTGAAATAAACCCTCAGTAACAAGACTCACACTTAAGCAGCTACCCAACTACAAACCCTTCTACAATATGCGAGAAACCTCACTATAGGCCTTGCCTCTTATTTTTCTGTGCAGCAGTATTTACAACAGTGAGATCATCAAGGTCTTTTCCTCTGTGAAACAACAAAAATAGAGTGATGTTAAAATATTCTGCTTGATTATAAAATTGGATATAAGTAGGATTTCTGTTTAAAAAATGAAGAAAAACATGCACATTCCCCAGGAAATAATGCATACTGAATAAGTTTGTTAATAGTTCACAAATAGTTATGCCAAATTGTTATTGATAGTCACAAAAATATGCTTAATTTTCCATTTGCAAGAGGAAAAATTCTGATGCTTCCCACAGAAGTATTCCCTTTTGTGGATCTAAATATATGAAAACTATCAAATGATTTAGATTCCTACTCTACATTATATGTGCCAGTGAAAAAAGAAATGAAGTTTCTGAAGAATTCTGACATTAATTCACAGTCTTCTAGGGCATAGATTTCTGTTTCTAGCATTAGTTCACAAAGATAAGAAATATTGTGAACACTAAAACTAAAGAAGCTTGCATTCTGCTAAGGAACTTCTGAATAAATATACATTTGTCCAGTTAGTGTGTTTTTTGGAATGACAGAAGTGATCTACTGTCATATATGATTACTGAGGCTTTATTTAAATTTCCGTCCTTGGACTAAAAATGTAAGCATTTAAAAACTAACAAAAATTAGAATTAAAAACATTATTTTTTTCCACTTATTCTATTAAGTTATTATACCAATAAATTATGGTAGATTTAAAGCTGTGCTAATCATCTTATGTTGTGAAGTATTTTAATACCACCTTCCTTAAATTAATATGAAGAATTAAACCATAACACATGACTGTATTACAAATACAACACAATTACAGTTTAAATGTAGAGAAACACTTTCACTTTTACAAGTAAGATTAAACAAGTAGCTGAATTTTAATACAGAACTTTATTTTGACTTTAAATAACTCTCTCTTTCTCTACTGACTTGAAAAAAATGGAACAATGTGTAACCAGTTGTAACCAGTACAACAAAAGGATAAATCCTTTCTAGGGCTGCAGGTGGGGAGTAAAACCATAAAGTTAACTTCACTCCAACTAGCCAGTTAGCTCTGACTACAAACTTCTTTTTTAGCTTGTTTTTTAAAGTTGTTTTTTGTGGACCAAGAAGATGCTAGTATAGATTTCATTTTGATGTGGAGGTCTCTCACACAGTTCAGCCTGCAAAGGGGAACATAGTTAACTGAGTCTACTCATAGTAGCTTAATCCTGCAAAAAGATGGATGCTTCCTAAGAGTCACTGAGCACCTCAACTTCCAGTTGTGTCAATGACATGCAGGCCAGATCCACAAAGGGACTTAGGTATTGTGATGCTGTGGATATTCACTGTGAACAAATAATTAGTTACTGGTCCAGAGACTGAATGTCCAAGAGTTGTTAGGGTACCCACCTGGGAGACAGGAGACCTAGTGTCCAGTCCTCCTGCTCCAATGACTTTTTACCCACAGAGGAACAGCTTCAACTGGAGAGACTGAGGGAACCCCACATCAGAATATCCCACCTCTCAGTGGTTAGAGCACTCACCTGAGAGGTGGGAGATCCCTGTTCAAATCCTGTGTCTCCCTCTGCTGGGCAGGAGAGGGGGAATTAAACTGGGGCCTCCCACATCCTAGGTGAGTGCTCTAACCACTAAGCTAAACATTATAAGGTGAGCATCATGACCTCCAACTCCTTCTAGATTTTGAATGGGACTTGATCCAGTAGGCAGCCTCTGAGCACACCTACCAGATTGGGCCCTACACACAAATTAGGTAGAGGGTGCCTATCTTTCTCCAGTTAGTGGATCGCTCTGAGGCTTAGGTGGGCGATGGTATCTGGGTACCTAGAGAGAAGTGGCAGTGTGCATAGAATCATAGAATATCAGGGTTGGAAGGGACCCCTGAAGGTCATCTAGTCCAACCCCCTGCTCAAAGCAGGACCAATTCCCAGTTAAATCATCCCAGCCAGGGCTTTGTCAAGCCTGACCTTAAAAACCTCTAAGGAAGGAGATTCTACCACCTCCCTAGGTAATGCATTCCAGTGTTTCACCACCCTCTTAGTGAAAAAGTTTTTCCTAATATCCAATCTAAACCTCCCCCACTGCAGCTTGAGACCATTACTCCTCGTTCTGTCATCTGCTACCATTGAGAACAGTCTAGAGCCATCCTCTTTGGAACCCCCTTTCAGGTAGTTGAAAGCAGCTATCAAATCCCCCCTCATTCTTCTCTTCTGCAGGCTAAACAATCCCAGCTCCCTCAGCCGCTCCTCATAAGTCATGTGTTCTAGACCCCTAATCATTTTTGTTGCCCTTCGCTGGACTCTCTCCAATTTATCCACATCCTCCTTGTAGCGTGGGGCCCAAAACTGGACACAGTACTCCAGATGAGGCCTCACCAATGTCGAATAGAGGGGAACGATCATGTCCCTCGATCTACTCGCTATGCCCCTACTTATACATCCCAAAATGCCTTTGGCCTTCTTGGCAACAAGGGCACACTGCTGACTCATATCCAGCTTCTCGTCCACTGTCACCCCTAGGTCCTTTTCCGCAGAACTGCTGCCTAGCCATTCGGTCCCTAGTCTGTAGCGGTGCATTGGATTCTTCCATCCTAAGTGCAGGACCCTGCACTTATCCTTATTGAACCTCATCAGATTTCTTTTGGCCCAATCCTCCAATTTGTCTAGGTCCTTCTGTATCCTATCCCTCCCCTCCAGCGTATCTACCACTCCTCCCAGTTTAGTATCATCCGCAAATTTGCTGAGAGTGCAATCCACACCATCCTCCAGATCATTTATGAAGATATTGAACAAAACCGGCCCCAGGACCGACCCTTGGGGCACTCCACTTGATACCGGCTGCCAACTAGACATGGAGCCATTGATCCCTACCCGTTGAGCCCAACAATCTAGCCAGCTTTCTACCCACCTTATAGTGCATTCATCCAGCCCATACTTCCTTAACTTGCTGACAAGAATACTGTGGGAGACCGTGTCAAAAGCTTTGCTAAAGTCAAGGCAGAAATCTTCTACCCTGAAAATTTAGGCACTGAGCAAGTTTAGGCATCTACAGGGTTCAGCAGGAGTTTTGTGGATCACAGTGGAGCTTAAAACTGGAATTTAAACACTTAAGTACCTTTGTAGTTCCAGGCCTCTGTGTGTCTCAGACTCTGGCTCAATGTGAAAGCTACATTTCCCTTTAAATTAAAATTTGGACTGGATATGGTAGCACTGATGCTCAGGGAGTTATAGCTATGCCCAGACTGAAGGGGAAAGGGGGTAAAATAATGGGAGTGGTATGGAGTGGAAATCTATCAAGTTCATGAAAAAACTCATACAGATACAGACAGACATCTTCCTCTCCAAATGCAAACAGATGGACATCACACCAAAAGGACTGAAGGTAAAAAATCCATTACAATCTACATACCACACAGACTATTCTGACAGCTTGTGCCACACGCTGTCAAAGAAACTGCGGAACCACCTGATCAACATCCTCTACAGCAAACAGGGAAAGATTAAAAATGAGCTCTCAAAACTGGATACTCTCATAAAAAACCAACCTTCCACACAAACTTCCTCGTGGCTGGACTTTACAAAAACTAGACAAGCCATTTACAACACACACTTTGCTTCTCTACAAAAGAAAAAGGACACTAAACTATCTAAACTACTACATGCCACAAGAGGCCACAACAGTGGTTCCCTTAACCCACCCAGCAATATTGTTAATCTATCCAACCATACTCTTAGCCCAGCAGAAGAATCTGTCCTATCTCAGGGCCTCTCCTCCTGCCCCTCCACCCCCACAAACATGATACAGTTCTGTGGTGACCTAGAATCCTATTTTCGACGTCTTTGACTCAAGGAATATTTCCAACACACCTCTGAACAACATACTAATCCACAGAGACCTTCCTACCAAGACTATAAAAAGAAGGATTCTGGGTGGACTCCTCCTGAAGGTCCAAACAGCAGACTGGACTTCTACATAGAGTGCTTCCGCCAACATGCACGGGCTGAAATTGTGGAAAAGCAGCATCACTTGCCCCATAACCTCAGCCATGCAGAACACAATGCCATCCACAGCCTCAGAAACAACATCATAATCAAAAAGGCTGACAAAGGAGGTGGCGTTGTCATCATGAATAGGTCGGAATATGAACAAGAGGCTGCTAGGCAGCTCTCCAATACCACTTTCTATAAGCCATTACCCTCTGATCCCACTGAGAGTTACCAAAAGAAACTACAGCATTTGCTCAAGAAACTCCCTGAAAAAGCACAAGAACAAATCTGCACAGACACACCCCTGGAACCCCGACCTGGGATATTCTATCTACTACCCAAGATCCATAAACCTGGAAATCCTGGAAGCCCCATCATCTCAGGCATTGGCACCCTGAAAGCAGGATTGTCTGGCTATGTAGACTCCCTCCTCAGGCCCTACGCTACCAGCATGCCCAGCTATCTTTGAGATGCCACTGACTTCCTGAGGAAACTACAATCCATCGGTGATCTTCCTGAAAACACCATCCTGGCCACTATGGATGTAGAAGTCCTCTACACCAACATTCCACACAAAGATAGACTACACGCCATCAGGAACAGTATCCCCGATAATGTCATGGCAAACCTGGTGGCTGAACTTTGTGACTTTGTCCTCACCCATAACTATTTCACATTTGGGGACAACGTATACCTTCAAATTAGCAGCACTGCTATGGGTACCCGCATGGCCCCACAGTATGCCAACATTTTTATGGTTGACTTAGAACAACGCTTCCTCAGCTCTTGTCCCCTAATGCCCCTACTCTACTTGCGCTACACTGATGACATCATCATCATCTGGACCCATGGAAAAGAAGCTCTTGAGGAATTCCACCATGATTTCAACAATTTCCATCCCACCATCAACCTCAGCCTGGACCAGTGCACACAAGAGATCCACTTCCTGGACACTACCGTGCTAATAAGCGATGGTCACATAAACACCACCCTATACGGAAAACCTACTGACTACTATTCCTACCTACATGCCTCCAGCTTTCACCCAGATCACACCACACGATCCATTGTCTACAGCCAAGCTCTACGATACAACCGCATTTGCTCCAACCCCTCAGACAGAGATAAACACCTACAAGATCTCTATCAAGCATTCTTACAACTACAATACCCACCTGCAGAAGTGAAGAAACAGATTGATAGAGCCAGAAGAGTACCCAGAAGTCACCTACTACAGGACAGGCCTAACAAAGAAAAGAACAGAACGCCACTAGCCATCACCTTCAGCCCTCAACTAAAACCCCTCCAATGCATTATCAAGGATCTATAACCTATCCTGAAGGACGACCCATCACTCACAGATCTTGGGAGACAGGCCAGTCCTTGCTTACAGACAGCCCCCCAACCTGAAGCAAATACTCACCAGCAACCACACACCACACAGCAGAACCACTAACCCAGGAACCTATCCTTGCAACAAAGCCCGTTGCCAACTGTGTCCACATATCTATTCAGGGGACACCATCATAGGGCCTAATCATATCAGCCACACTATCAGAGGCTCGTTCACCTGCACATCCACCAATGTGATATATGCCATCATGTGCCAGCAATGCCCCTCTGCCATGTACATTGGCCAAACTGGACAGTCTCTACGTAAAAGAATAAATTGACACAAATCAGACGTCAAGAATTATAACATTCAAAAACCAGTCAGAGAACACTTCAATCTCTCTGGTCACTTGATTAGAGACCTAAAAGTGACAATTCTTCAACAAAAAACTTCAAAAACAGACTCCAACGAGAGACTGCTGAATTGGAATTCATTTGCAAATTGGATACAATTAACTTAGGCTTGAACAGAGACTGGGAGTGGATGGGTCATTACACAAAGTAAAACTATTTCCCCATGTTTATTCCCCCCCACACCGTTCTTGTCAACTGCTGGAAATGGCCCACCTTGATTATCACTGCAAAAGGCTCCCGCCTCATCCCACCCCCTGCTCTCCTGCTGGTATTAGCTCATCTTAAATAATCACTCTCCTTACAGTGTGTATGGTAACACCATTGTTTCATCTTCTCTGTGTAAATAAATCTCCTCACTGTATTTTCCACTGAATGCATCGGATGAAGTGAGCTGTAGCTCATGAAAGCTTATGCTCAAATAAATTTGTTAGTCTCTAAGGTGCCACAAGTACTCCTTTTCTTTTTGCAAATAGAGACTAACATGGCTGCTACTCTGAAACTGCTCCTAAGTGTGGAGATCATTGTGTAGCTCCTACTAGCAAAGTAGTGTGGCAGCTTCCTGCTTTAGCTCATTCCTAAAACGGTTTATGGACAACAAGGACCTTGGTCTGAATCTCTCTCTATTGACATTGAGGTCCAACACACAAGTCAGTCCCTTTAGAATGTGGGGCAATTTATTAACTGCTTAACTTTGCTCTGTCTCTGGCAAACACAGCTATTCTGAGTTCTTCAAAATTTTGTTTAATCCCCTACAAAATATATCTAAAGTTACATAGGAAGTTGTGCTGGACACTGATGAACTCTGAGGCAGCTATAAACGTGCATGGAGATTGCCAGTGATTCTCACACAAACACACACACACATACACCCTCCTGGGCTGGGGTGCTGGAAAAATTTGTGTAGTGAGAGTGCTGAGAGCCATTGAACCAAACCATAAACCCTATATATAATGGAAACCACTTCAAGCCGGGGGTACGGCAGAACCCCCATCATCCCTAGTTCCAGCACCTGGGTGCTGACTGATTAGTTAATAGTGCATAAGTGTTATTTCATCATTGCTATTATTTTCATTCTAATGCCATCCTGTACTTCTGAACAGCCGGTGCTACTTTTTAGTCCTTTAAGGACTTTATGGATTTTAATATTAGTCTTTTTTCAAACTCCAATAGTTATACACTACCACCTGCATCAGAAAAATAGAAACCGAGATGCTTCCAAGACTTACCCCTTGTCATCTGTGTGAGTTGTGGGATTTTTTTTTAGATTATCAAGATCTTGGCTCCTATAAAAGATAAAGCAAAACCAGAGCAGGTCACAGTCAGTACATACAATTGTCCATTAGCTAAAATTAAGGACTTGCTTAAAGTAAAGAGGTTATTGACACGTTTTTCAAGAAAGATGGAATTAAATTGATGGCAAAGTTGAAAGCCTACATTGCTAATTCAATTATATATAACCTGTAAATATATACCCATTCAGGTATTTCCATTTGACCCAAGTAACACCTGATTATGTTTTAGAAACAGCCAACTACACCTAACATATGCAACAAAAGGGTAAATGCCTTCTTAGCATTCATAATCATGATTTAAAAACCCCTACTTCAATAACTTTAAAAAAAATTGCATGCCTTTTAGCCAGCAATGAACTTTAAACCATGAGATTACTGAATCATAAAATCAGCAGAATATTACTATGATATATGAAGAATGAGTCCTCGCTGAGAAAAAAAAACATAGCATAAACTAGAAGAAGCTAATCAGAGGGAAGACTATTCAATACAAGCCAAGAAGATTCAACAGTTACCCTCTGGACCAGCAGGATTCTGATTTAATTCTCACTGTGTTGGTGGGACAGCATGTCCAGCTATGAACTGGGAGGCATGTTACTTGGATAAACTCACTCATTCTAGACCCTCTCATCTCTAGCTGGCAGACAACACTTCCATTGTCTGACATATCACAATTTAAGTTTGCTCTCCATAAAATTACAGCTGGTTGGAAAACAGAATTTCTGTTCCATGGAAAATTGTCACTTGTCAAAATGTATTTTCATTCCAAATCAGAAAGAAAAGCTGAAAATTTTAATATTTATTGCAGAATGAAAATTCCAAACAAATTCTGATTACAGAGCTATTCAAATATTTAGTTTCAGTAGCACTGAATCACTTCATTTCAAAAATGTTGAAGCAATATAAAATAATGTAATATATGATAATAATAAATTATGGTAATAATAAATGTTGAAATGAAATGAGTCAAAATGAAACATTTTTACCTTATTATAATTTCCTATTTCAACGTGTGTTTGCAAAAATATTTCCATTTCAGTAAACTGCATTTTCTAATGTAAAATTTTTGGTCAAAAACTTTTGCAACCAGCTCTACCTAAAAATCAATCCTAACATTGCCTGTATACTTTAATTAGGTTAATATCTTATATCATTGATTTGTGAAGGAAATGAGAGTTGGGTTAGAAGTATAAAGCTGTTCTTAAATAGAGGACAACAAGAAAACAGCAATTCCCACTACAGTAACACTCTGACTTCCTGTAGAGCGCAGTCTCATTCTCCTAGTGCACAGTGTTGCATGTGTCTTATTACTTGAAATTCCAATAGCTGCATATTAAACAGTTCTATCTTCAAACACACATTTAGTGAAAGATAAAGACAAAGGGCTCTGCAAGATTTCCCCTTGTCATTTGTCAGCTGTGGGATTCACTTTGGGATTACCAAGATCTTGTCTTCTTTAAGGATCAAACAAAATTAGCATGAGGGACTCAGAGGACATTCAACATCAATTGTCTAACATTACGTAAGAGCTATTAATAAATATGTATTCTACATATTCTTCTAGAATCACGGATAAGTTTAAATTTGTTATGTTTGTAATTCTGATATATTTGTGGCCACTAACACAGTGTTGCCAACTCTCACTATGTTATCACAAGTCTCATGGTATTTAATGTTTTTCTTAAAGCTCCAGATCCTGGATTCATTTGATTATGTGAGAATCTCAGCTTTCATTAAAAGAAAAGTAAGTTTCTAGCCCCTGGTTGTAGAGAAATGCTTGAAAACAAACCTTAAGGCTCAAAAAAGAAGGCGGATTAAAAGAATCCAAAATTTATTATTTTTAAGCCTATCTCATGATGATGCTCTCCCGCCCACATAGCTACCGCTGCTCATTTGAGATGGTTTAATTACTCTGATAGCGTGCCGCTGTAAGTCTCTAGTGTACACATAGCCCTAGTTGTTTTTAACTCACCTGGGGCCTGATCCAAAGCCTATTGCAGTCAATGGGAGTCAGGCACTTGTTACATCTTGTCTTAATTAAACCCTGATCCTGGAATTGAAGACATGTCAAATGCCACAGATCTCATGTGACACTAATGTATGTAGGCAGACCTTCACACATTCCTGCATCCCAGAATGAATGTTACACATTCACTTGGGCTCTAGAAAGCAGGAGGGCTTGGACTGCTGCCACTACAGGGGCTACTGTGGTGCCTGATGAAACATGCAGGTCCAAGATGAAGACCTCTCTGCCTTCCCCTTTGGCTGCTTTCAAATTGCCCTGCAGTTTCTCAGACACAAGGAGCAACAGAAAGGGGAAGAGGTAGCATTGGTGACATGACATGAGTGCTCCACAGGCAGGAAAGGTGAGGGGCTTCTGGGAATGTGTGAAGTGACAGGAACCATGGGGGCAGTTGGGAAACAAGGCAGGACCTACTGGAGGGTGGGGAGATAGGGGACAGGGTACTGGGGAGGACAAGGGAGACCAGAACTACAGGGGGACAGGAAGTAAGGGAGGAGCAGGAGCTGCTGAAGGGAGGAAGAGCAAATGGGGAAACAGAGTGGGAGGACAGAATAGGGACGGGAGCCTGCAGGAGGAAAGCAGCTAATAGTGCTAGTGCCGCCAGGTTGCCGACTCATGATTCTATCCTGATATTTGGTGTTTTTCTTAAAGCTGCAGCTCCTGGAGTCATGAGATTACACATGAAACTCAGTTTATCCTCACCATTGCTTTGTGACATAATCCCTAAAGACAGGGCATTGGATGGTGGGGTTTTGGGTTTTTTTTTTAAAGTATTCAAGAATATAGTGTGGCGGGGTGGGGGGGGAGGGAATAGGATATATATGACTATTATTTTCCATATAGCAGTGATTCTTAAACTATTCTCCAGAAAGAGCTTGCTGGTCATATGATTCCAACTCTCCTGCTTGTTTCAAAAGGCTAAGTAACACAAAAAGCCATCTAAAAGCAAGATTAAAATACTTTCTATTACTTTTCCATGTAATTACTTTAGTTGCCACATGAATGTTATTTGCTCATCAGTAAGAGACAAGTTGGTCTGAGCAATCAGGGATGTTCCAAGAGACAGTCTCACTATTAAGATGAAAGATAAAGTTTTCAATAGTGCCTAAGTAACTTAGGATCCTAAGTCCCGTTGACTTTTAAAGAGACTTAGAGCTTGTCTACACAGTGCTGCGGAGTGCTCTACAAGGGGTATGAACTGCAAAGTGCTCTACCATGTTGTGCTCTAACTGCCCCATATAGATCTTGCTGGAATATCCTACTGTTAATTGGCGCAAACTAAAAAGGTGCCTAGTTCACGTCGGTGTGATCCCATTCGGAGCCTCACTCACTTAGAGGTTTTTGAAAAATTGTACCCAAAGTCTGCAATAAAAAAAATTTTGGCCACTCCTGCCTTATAAAAATTATGTCACAATTTACAATTAACGGTATGTCGGCCTTACCTTGTTGTTCTTTCTGTTGTGATTCTTCTTTCAGCAGCAAATATGCCAGGTTTTGTTGGAGATACCTGCCTATAAAAAATTAAATGCTATTAATATAGTTATATGTTTTTATATAAATATATACAAGCACCTGCTCCAAAGAAGTTCAATCTAACACCCAAACTGCTACAGCTCTTCCTGTGTTAATATTAGAGTCAAATGTTAAAAAGAATCCAGTGGTTTCCTACCAAATATTGCATAATAGGTACGGAAGTTAAAAATACAAATAAAATAGATTGAAATATTAAATTAATACATATTCAAGAAATCTCTATCTTAGGTACTTATAGAGCTCAAAACGTTACATTGTCTGAGTATCACAATGCAGTATTTAAGAATAGCACAAAAGTATAATCAAAGAGGGCTTTGTTGTTGCTATTCTAAGGGCTGGCCACATATAAACTGGGGAGGAGGGAGGGTTTCTTGAAGTCACAGCTTTTCTATGTTTGAGTGTTTTCCCTAGTGGCTGACATTTCTCTGTTAATGGAGAAGAAAGAAACTGCATTAAAAACACTTCCGATTTTCAACCCTGGTTTAGGTAAATTTCAATATGTATTTTAAAATTCTTTCCAGGTAAACACAGTTTATTTTAGCTAACTTATACTCCCAGACAGTGTCCAGAAATTTCAGATAAAGAAGAATTCCTTCAGATAGTCTATCCTTTATTCTTCATCAATGCTCCCTTAGAAATCTTCATCCTACTACACTCAGAGCAGAGGGTAGGTGAGATCAGGCCGCAGGGTGAGAAGGAGGATGTTTGTGCGGGAATTGCAGTCTGGGCTAAGAAAAGAAACAGATCACAGATATGCCATTTCTCTGGCAGGGCGAGTTATTTATTTTCATCTGGAAATCATGACAATAAAATAAAACCCAAACTTACGGCAACTCTCAGACAACATCCAATGTTTTAAATTAATCTTAAATTTACTCTGCTGTTCATATTTTAATTAATACCTCCTCAGCTAACTGCATTTTTTTTTCCTTATAAGCTATTCTCAGTACACTGGGGAATAGAGTGTTGATTGGCTTGAGGAGGAGGGTGTAATTTCATTTCCTGTCTAAAGGGACATGAACAAAAAAGAGATACTTCTTCTGTAATAAAATATGAGTTCTACACTGTATTTACCCACCCTGTCAATTACTCCGATTTATAGAACAAAGTTGAATAATCCTAATAAATTATATATGTTGTGATCTACATTCTGATGTGACTGATCTGTTTGGCTATGCTTTATGGTTCTCCTGGAACAAAAGCTTCTTCCATAAAATATAACCTGGATGATATATTAAAGTTTACACAGGTAACACTTCCTTAGTTCTCTCTCTCTCTCTCTCTCCTCTCATGCAGCATCTGCTTGGCAGGATTAAAGTAAGTAATCAAGACTGACGTCTTGCAAATTCCTTTAGTTAGGGCAACTGGCTGACTGAAGGGAGTGGTAATAGGCTATAGATCCTTTAGGTCACTGGTTCAAATACCGCTCAGGTTAAAAACAACTACAGTTAAGATTTGATGGTTATTTATAAAGACACATAGCATAATGACTTCAATGGGATTACCTGCAGGACTAGTTAGATGAATCAGCATTTGCAAGACCCAGTCTGTCTGCAGTGAGCTTTTTCTTAAAAACTCCTACAGTTGCCTGATGAAGCTACACCTATGGTAGCAAAAATGTACTATAAAGCATCTGCCAGTGTTCATGCCTCTGTCTAATCTAATCTCTCTCAGAACAGGTCTGGCAGCTATTTACTGTAGTGCTTTCACCATTTCTACCACCAGTGTAGCTCCAGCGGTGGCGTATAACAGTGAGAGACTGAGAAAAACCTCAGTGTAAACACTGCTTAAATTAAGATGTAACTCACTGAGTGATGATTCCAAGAGCTGAGGCATTCCCTCCCTGAAGTTCCCAGCCAGCTCTGCTCTAGGACTCTAGACGCTCAGGACTCTGAACTTTCTGTCCTTTGGGCTCTCTCCCATTACTAACTCCCAATGGCAGTTCCTCTGTCCTAATTACACCATACTAGGGCATCCCTGGACTGGAACAAGAGAGCCAGCCCGAATTTAATTTAATAAGTCAGCTACCCTCTTACACCCACAAAGAGAGCAGTAGTGTTTGTGGCCAGAGCTCCCAATCCCTCTGTATCAGTTCATGGGGACAATGACTGCACCTGTAGAAGTCTGGCAGAACCCATCCAGCTGGTGTGTGCTGCTGCATAGTTCCCAAAGGCATTCTCACGGAGTTACCCAGAAGGCCACCATGAATTCTTATGGCTGCACAGCCCTTTTGCACAACACCCGCAAATAGGCTGTGGCTTTAAATATTACAGTATTTTTTTTTACCACTTTTACAGTGGGAAAGCTCTGCTTGTGTTCGCACATCCATTAATACAAAGGTGAAAACTATTCTACAAGAGATATGGCTTTCTGGTCCAGCAAGCCAACAGCCACAATAATTTTAGAAGACTTGCGGTCATTCTATTTAAATAATGACTTGCGGTCATTAAGAGATAAGCCCCTCAGGTTTTAAGTCAGTCACTATACAACCAAGAAAAGGTTGACAAAACCCTTGAATACACTGACACTTCAATAATGAAGTTGAACTAAAACCTCAGAAGACATCGCTGTCCTAATAACATCAGCATTGACAAGGGCAGTTTCAGGTTACAAAAACAACTACAAATTGCCAGCTGGAACATCCAAATTCTGGATCAAAAGGAACCGCACCCTGAAACGTAGTAAGTAATTCAGGATTTTCATGAGACGAAGATTGACATAACAGGCCTTTCTGAGCATTGACTGACTGTTCAGGGCCCCTTCAACACTCCTGTAACAGACTTTGTAAATGTGTAAATGAGAAAGAAAAAGTAAGTCGAGAAAGGAACAGCATTTATGCTGAATTAGCCTGCGTTTTCATTCCTGTTGCGATCCAGACTAATCAATGCCAGGTTTCTTTCAAAGGAGCCCTCATTTAAGCCTTGCACCAACAGAAGCCAAGGATGATGAAATTGAAGAGGTCTGCAGCTGACTGTGAAAACCCATTTATACAGTGCCAAAACACAATGTGCTGCATAGCACAGAGAATTTCAGAGCTTTAAATGCAGAGGAAAAGTTGTTTAGAATATTTTGAGGGGATGTGGACTGGGAAAGATCACTGAATAAAGGACAGCAATTCATTCAGTTCTGCTTTGAGGAGAAGTATGACCTTGTAAACACTACAAGAAATAATGCATTTGGATCTCTTCACAGCAGCTCTGCAATGGCACATCATTTATATCATTGAACAGAAGAGATGCAAACCAGCACTTCTAACTTTAAAACTATCGGGTGCCATGTATACTAGAAATGAGATGCAGAATCTCTCACTCAGTATAAAGGCAGTTAACATGGGGACTTTTTCGTATTTTGCTTTGGTGCAAAACTCTCTCACCAGAAATTTGTGTGTTAATTTTCAGAAGAAAAAGCAGTCTTGAAAGTCAAAAGCTACTTTTTATAACAACAATCAGCCTTTTCAGCCAAGCCCAGATGTGACAGCAGTTATTAGCACCATACACTCTATACCTGCTCCAGGATCAATCCTACTTTTTTAGTAACTAGGTACCCAACAGTCTTGTGGGTGAGTGAGTGGTGTCCCATGTCACATTCTAGTAGTCTGCCCAAATATATTACCTAGAAAGGGAAGATAAATTAGGAAGGCATCAAAGTGAGGCAGCCAGAAAGGAAGACCTAGTGATGTTTTAGTGGGATACTTAAGCAGGGTGAGAGGCTAGATTAGACACAACTGAAAGATTCTTATTTATATATAGTAATAGAGTTTAATAAAGGCTTCAGGCCAGGGATAATTACCATCAAGTACAAATACTAGGAAAAAAGCAGACGAGCACAAGAAATAGCTAACTTTTTTATAGAGGATCTCAGTGTAAGTATTTGTATTGGTGTAAATATGTCAGAGATAGGTGTGGGGTTTTTTTGTTTGACCAAAAATAGTGATACAACTTTTCATATGGAAGCAGTTATGCCAGTATAAGACACCTTTATACCAGGATAGTTTATTCCTTTTCCCATATGAGTATAAGCTACACCAGTATTAGCATTTTTATACCAACATAATTGCACCCACATTAGGAAAGTTGTACCACCTTAACTATACCAGTACATTTGAAGCAGTACAACTTGTATGTTTAGACAAGACCATAGACTCTCAATTCCATCAGCCTGGAAGAACTCCAAGCTATTGTTGATTTCATAATAATCATTTGAAAAATTAGGGTGTCTGACTTTGCAGAAAGGTTAAAAAAATTCCTATTGTCAAAGTTGTGGCATGTTGTTAATATTATATGTTCTCACAAAATACACCACCATTACAAGAGGGAGTGAATGTGTTGTTCTTTTTATGAATTACTTTTATTTTTTTAAATGAAAGTTGGCAATGCATCTTAATTCCCAAACAAGAATATTACAAAAATGGAATATATAGATATATACAGGTACCATCTAAATTTGTTATTGCCTGACAGGAGTCTTTACCTCACGTTCCCTGAAGGAGACCCCAATGCCCCTCCAGAAGTACTAACATTCAGGTGACCATATGTCAGTATTAATGGAGAAAGAAATTCTCAGTATGATTCAGCCTATGTTGAAAGTGAAAAGGTTACTCTCTCATCTACCTGAGTCCCACATTTAAATCAGGTAAGGAGCTCTCACCACATACTACTAACTAAAATGTAACTACGCAAATTTAGGCCACTTACTCAAAAACATAGCTCAGAACCATAAGTCACTATCTAAGTACATGTGCTGTTATAAATAGCCAGTGGGAAGGACATATACATCAGTGTGGAAAAGCTACACTTGTGCGTTGTAAGAACTGAGGCACAGGTCATAATGGTATCCACTCTCCATATATGCTGTTTGCATGTAATTGGAACACCACCCTTTGCAAACATATTTTGCATAGCAGCACATCCCTGCCCAAGTATTGCCCTATCCATGGTAGCTTCAACCTCCATCTTAAAAACAGCAGAAGGCTCTAGAA